CGACAAAATCGGTCAGCAGAAGTCTGAACGACAATGTCATTGTCGGATCGTTCAAGAAATTGTTTTTTCACTTGTCCGATATCGTTCGTCCGAGAAGTAGAAATTCTCGTTCATTCAATGTTTTAAACTTGAGTGAGCAGTTGTTTGTTTGGATTCTGCGGCGATTTTTTTTTCTGCAAACCTTAAATATGCCCGTTGATAATCGTCGCCTCAAACTTCTATACTTACTTTATTTAAGAAGAAAGAAGCGAGCAGTGCAGAAACGTTTTTGGGTGCACGAAATAAATGCAGCAAGCTTTTCCGTAAGCTGCAAAAGGAGCCAAATAAATTTTTTAATTACTTCCGAATGAGCGAAACCACATTTAACTATGTGTTAACATCTCTTTATGATAGCATTAAGAAAAAGAACACCAGTTTTCGCCTTTGCATTCCTCCAAAAGAAATGCTTGCTGTCACCTTAAGGTAATTATTTATACTGTTTCTTTTTAGTTACTGTAATAAACCAGGCTTTTAATAAACTAAAACTATTTTCATTCTTTTCCAGATATCTGGCTACTGGTAGTTCCTTTACTGAATTGCATTATTCTTATAGAATTGGTGTGACTACCATATCTAAAATAGTTAGTTGCACCTGAGAAAATATTTGGGAGATATTACAGGAAAAACATCTTATGAAAGCCAGTGAAGAAAACTGGAAAAAAGTGGCAGCAGGATTCAAAAAGTTTGCAAATTTTCCGCTATGCCTCGGTGCCATTGATGGCAAGCATATCAGGATAATAAATTTTCCAAAAGAGAGATCTATGAATTTCAATTATAAGAAGCATCATTCTATTGTTCTATTGGCTGAAAAATGTTTCAGTTGAATCAGGGAACAGACTTTTCATTATTCAATCAATATATTATATTTCAATCAGAAACCAGTAGTTAGATCGAGTTCTGTTGGAAATACATAAGGGTCTTTGTTTTCCTTTTTATCAATCCATTACTATTATAAGATTATCTTTTCATTAAAGCATATAATGGATTTATAAAAATTTTCGATAAAGATTTTAATATTGTTTACGTCTTTCAACCTCATTATAATGTAAAAATTGCAACATCATGAAATTAAAAATATATAACCAGACGTAAGAAGAAATTAGATCAAACTTTTATTTCTGTGTTTATTTTTAGAGCTTAATTTTTTTTCTTTAAATACATGGAAAATAAAAGAGAGTTATTTTTAAATTCAAAAGTATAATATATAAAATTTAAAAAGAAAAATGTTTTTATTAGTAATTTTTTTTCTTATCATAAGGAAATAAATATTGAATACATACTATAAAATAAAAAAACGCTTTTAAAAATAATACACAATATAAAAGAATATATATATATATTCACAATATCAGGATTTTCAAACATCATGCAGAAATAGCAAAAACTATTAAAAGAAAACAATCGAGACGCTGCTTCTAATTTTTCTTATCTCAATAATATACCCGCATGTCTGTGATATAATGTTTGAAAAAGTTATTCGGAAAAACAATGGCATCGTCATGTATTGGTGAAAAAGGTATCGGTGAAGGCGGAACAAATATCTTGGTAATCATATTTTGTCGGATTATGAAGAACTATGGATGATTGTGAATTACTATGGAGAATTAAAGTGGATCATAGCTTTCTATATACACTGGTTGAGATCTTTTAGCTTTAATGTTCATAATTGATGTTAGAACAGCCATGTGCAGTTCAATTTTTTCATTCTCACTCATGTCTGTGACATATTCTTCAAATGATGAAAAAAATGTACTAGGGGGCTTCTCCAACCGAGGCCGCTTCAGTTCCTTAATGATCTCTTTCTCGAGATCATTCAAGTTCTGTTGAGAGCGTGTGCGTTTTTTACACATTTTAGTGGAGGTCTCAGCAGAGGCACTACCTGACTCACTGCAGATCATTTCCGCTGGATCATCCAGTGGTGCGTGACCATTTTCCGTTGGATTAACAACACTCTCGCAGATAGCTGATGTTGCCAATTCATCTACAATTTTGCTAGATTGGGTATTGTCGTTTTCTTGACCAGCTAAAAGAAATTGCAAATGCGCATGGTACAAGTATTCTTTTTTGGATGACTGACCACTTTTGGTTTTTAAACTTCTCATAAAAGCATCCCTGATGTTACACCATTTACTCGTTATTTTTTCAACTGAAATATAGATAAAAAATAACATATAAGTTAAAATTGAAAAACTAGCACGTAAGAAAAAGATAAGAAATGATAAGAAATTTGGCTTTTATTAAAGATATATCACCAGCTCAGACATTTAAAAGCTAGATTGAACCTATCTATACTGCTTATTCGTGAGCTAAATAACCTTCTCTTTTACATAACTAAACCACTTGGCTGAGCTTGAGCACACAAATCGGAATTGATAAGCTATTCTGACTATGTATAGTTAGCTGACCATATAATTACTATTTTTCTATTCACATTGTATAGGTACTTTCAACATACATAAATCAAAATAGGTGATAAAATATTATTGACTAAATGAGGGAAAGATTTCTCTCCCATGACACTACAGTCTTATTTATTAAAAGACATCAGTCCTTAATATAGGATAAACTGATAGGAAAATAAATTAAGCTCAACTCCATGATTAAAATTATACTATCTCTATTTTAAGCAAAGGGGATATTACCATATCTCCTATCATTACGTAAAACAGATATAATATAAAACTGCAACAAATCGCCAACTGCATTCGCCAAGGTGCCAAAACGTATTTTAAACGCATAATTAAAAAAAAACATATAGATGTTTGCCCGGTGGTGGCTACGAGTTATGCTTTTCGAGCTGGTCCCTTTCTGTCATGTTTTTTTTTTTTTTAGTTTCTTGCGTACGCGGAAGTTACTAAGACTTGGCGATTAATTTGCCACAGATCATGATACGGAAATCTCTCTCAATGATAAATGAATCGACAGAAATGGCGTCATTTAATGCACGAAAAAGTACTTTTTAAGAAGAAAATAAAATTACAGCTTACTTCTTTTGCATTATGTTAACTATATTAAATAAAAATATCCTCTGGCATTAACGTCAATTAAAGTTAAAATAGAACTCATGCACTATGCGAAACTACTCAA